GAACCTTACCCCACTTCGGGGAAGGGTATTTCTCCAACTCAAACCCTCTCTAGCCTTCCTCTCTCACCTAAGGAGGAAAAATTAAAAACTAATAAAAACTTGTAAAGGTCACCACCCAGGGACACAGGCCCACTGAAAACTGAGATTTAATCATAAGATTATAGAATGCCTCCACTCCCCTCCTTCTCATCGCCACGTCAACAAAGTGTACATCACAAAATTGAGCATAATTATTACCTTGGTCCCTATTACCTGATGTATCATTTCCGCCTTTCAACAAAAAAATAACAAGACATGCTAAAAGGTAAGAAAAAACACAGTCTGAAGATGTGAGACAAGTGTGAGAACCAGACACAGATATGACACAGATTTTGGAATTATCACACAGGGAATTTAAAATAACTAGGATAAATATGTTAAGGGCTTTGGATGAGTAATGTAAGCAGAGAGGTGCAACTTAAGAAAGAATCAAAAGTAAATGCTAGAAATCAAAAACATTGTGATAGAAATGAAGAATGCCTTTGATGAGCTCATCCGTAAAATTCTGTCCTCGGACATGGCTGAGGAAAGCATTAATGAACCTGAGGATAGGTCAATAGAAACTTCCCAAACTGAAACTCAAAGATAAAAAGAACGAAAAAAAAATTATACAAAAAGAGCAGGACAACTTCAAAACGTTAACACGCACGCAATTGGAATACTAGAAGGAAAAGAAAGAAAGAACAGAGCAGAAGAAATATTTGAAGTAATGATGACTGAGAACTTTGCAAAAGTAATAACCAACACCAAACTGCTCATTCAAGAAACTCAGAGAATGTCAAGCGAGAAATATACCAAAAAATCTACACTCGGGTATACCTCATTCAAACTCCAGAAAACCAAAGACAAAGAGAATTTTGAAAATATCCAGATTTACATTAAGAAAGGAACAGCTTTGGAGAAGGAATAATTGAAAGTAAAATAAAATGTTATAGTTTTCTTATGCTTAATTAATTGAAAAGATAACTACTTAAAGTAATAATAGTAAATGTATTGGGTGATTATAGCATATAGATAAGAGAACTGAAAGATAGTAACACCAGGAGGGATGGGTGGGAGGACTTGGGGAGACTCCGTTATAAAGCAGCTGCACTGTGTGTTAAGGAATACAATGTTACCTTCAAGTGGACTTAGATTACTTAAAAATGTAATTGCAAACTCTAGGGCAATCACTATTTTTTTTAAGTAAGTATAATTGATATGCTAAAGGACAAGATAAAATGGAACTATATAAAATGCTCGGTTAAAACCAGAGACAGCAAAAAATAGAGAGGGGGGAGAAAAAATTAAAAAAAGAACAAATGCAAAGAACAGAAAATAGCTGCAGCAGCATGCTAAGCATTAATTCAACTATATTGATAATCATTTTAAATGTGAATGCTCTAAATACATCAATTAAAAGACAGACATTGTTAGAGTGATTTAAAAAAACAAGAAATACACTTTAAATATAAGGACTCAAATAGGTTAAAAATAAAACTGGGAAAAATATACCATCTAACAGTAGTCAAAAGAAAGCTGGAATAGTTACATTAATTTCAGACAAAGCAGACTTCAGAACAAACAAGATTATCAGGGATAAAGAGAAGATTTACATAATGACAAAAGGGCCAATTCCAAGAAGACCTAATAATCCAAAGAAGACAGAGAATCAAAATACATATGGCTAAAACCGATAGAACCGAAAGAAGAAATAGACAAATCCAACACATATTTGAAGACCTCAACACACCTCTGTCAGTAAATGAGAGGTCTAGCAGATAGAAAATCAATAAAGATATAGATGGCTTGAACAACTATCAATAAACTTGGTTTAATTGACATTTATAGAGTATTCCAATCAACAACAGAATATCCATTCAAGTCCTAACATAACCAAGTTCTGACATAACATTCACCAAGATAGAAAACACTTTGACCCAAAAAATACACCTTAATAGTTTTAAAAGACTAGAAATCATATAAAATATGTTCTCAGATGATAATAGAATTAAACAAGAAGTCAATAATCTTAAACAATCAATCAATCAGAAAAATATCTGGAAAATTCACAAATATTTTGAAATCAAACACACTTTTAAACAACCCATGGAACAAAAATAAGTCTTAAAAGAAATTATAAATCTTTGGAACTAAATAAAAGTAAATCTTCCCCAAACTTGTGAGATTAAGTAAAAGAAGTGCTTACGGTATAATTTATAGCATTAAATACATACATTTGAAAAGCAGAAAAATCTAAAATTAATAACCTAAGCTTTTACCTTAGGAACTAGGGAAAGAAGAGCAAATTAAACCTAAAGCTAGTAGAAAAACAGGAATAATAAAAGTTAGAACATAAATCAACAAAATTGATAACAGGAAAACAATAGAGAAAATCAACAAAACCAGAATCTAGTTCTTTGAAAAGATTAACAAAATAAACCTCTAGACCAGCTAACCAAGAAAAGAGAAAGAAGACACAAATTACCAATATCAAAAAAGAAAGAGAGGTCATCACCACTGACCTCAATGACACTAAAAATGTAATGAGGGCAAACTATGAACAGTGCTCTGCCCACGAATTTGGTAATATCAATGAAGTGGAATGAATCCTTGAGAGACACAAAGTACCAAATATCACACAAGAAGAAATAGATAATCTGAATAGGCCTGTATCTATTTAAAAAAAAACTGAAGGAGTAATTAATAACCTTCCCCCATAAAAAGCACCATGCCTAGATGATTTTACTATTTCATTCTTCCAAACGTTTAAGGAAGAATTGATACCAATTCTCCACATCTCTTCCAGAAAACAGAAACAGAAAAGGAACACTTTCCAACTCATTCTGAGGCCAGAATTACCCTAACTCCAAAACCAGACAAAGGCAGTACAAGAAAGGAAAACTGTAGATGGATATCTCTCAGGGTATAGATGCAAAAATCCTCCACAAAATATTAGCAAATCCAGCTGCATAAAAAGAATTAGACATCACAACCAAGTGGGATTTATTCCAGGTATGCAATACTGGTAAAACATTTGAAAATCAATCAACATAATCCAGCACATTAACAAGCTCAAAAAGAAAAATAACAATTACATCAACTGATTCAGAAAAGCTTTTAACAAAATTGAACACCTATTCACGGTAAAATCTCTCAGAAAACTAGGAATAGAGGGAAACTTCCTCAACTTGACAAAGAGCACTTACAAAAAACTTCCAGCAAACATCATAATTAATGGTGGTGCTTCTTCCCTAAGACTAAATACACAGCAAGGATGTCCCCTCGCACCACTCCTATTCCATATTATATGGAAACTGCTAGCTAGCACAAAAAGACAAGAAAAAGAAAGAAAAGACATACAGTTTGGGAAAGAAGAAATAAAACTGTCTTTGTTTACAGATGATATGATTGTCTATGTGAAATATCCCAAAGAATTGACAAAAACTCCTGGAACTAATATGAGAGTATAGCAAGGTCAGAGAATAAGACATTAATATACGATAGTCAGTTGCTTTCTTATATGACAGCAATGAACAATTAGAACTTGAAATTAAAATCTCAATATATTTACAATAGCACCAAAACCAGGAAATATTTAGGTATGAATATAACAAAGTGTGTACAGGACCTATATTCGGAAACTATAAAACTCTGATGAGAGAAATCAAAGATCTAAATAAATGGAGAGATATTCCGTGTTCATGAATTGGAGGACTCAATATTGTCAAGATGTCAGTTCTTCCCAAAGCGATCTATAGATTCAGCACAATCCCAATCAAAATTCCTGGATTTACGTCCAAGATTGAGCAATGCTCTCAGTTGAAAATGAAGACACACAAAAGTGTTTCAAGATCAAAAAGGAGGGTTAAAATTTATTCCTTAAAAGTGCCCATAATAATAATTAATTTACACAAGATTAAAGCTATTACAACAATCATATAATGGAAAGTCACACTGTCTCCAACAAAGCTTGTGACTCTACAATTCCCCAAAGCTTCTTTGGTCAAGGCCAACAGTTTTCTCCATTCCTATGGTCAACTGCCAGCCCTTGTCTAACTTGCACTGTTGACGATATCTGACATAATTTGTTATTCCCTCTTCCTCAAAACACTCCTTTATTTGTATTCTAGAACATCTTTTTTTTTTTAAAGATTGGCTCCTAAGCTAACAGCTGTTGCCAATCTTTTTTTTTTTCAGTTGTGGGTCCCTCTAGTTGTGGCATGTGGGATGTCGCCTCAACGTGGCTTGATGAGCGGTGCCATGTCTGCGCCCAGGATCCAAACCAGCGAAACCCTGGGCCACCAAAGCGGAGTGCGCAAACTTAACCACTCAGTGATGGGGCTGGCCTCTAGAACATGTTGCTGGTTAATCTTCTCAGTCTCTTTTGCTGGTTCTTTCTCTTCCGCTTCACCTTTCCATACTGGAGATCTCTTGTTGGGCTCTCAGAACCCCAAAGATTCCAAAACTCATCTATATTGAATCCCAAACTTATATCTGCAGCCAAGACCTCTCTTCTGAACTCCAAACCCATGTATTCAACTGCATCCTCGATTTCTCCCCTTGGATGTCTAACAGACATCTCAAATTTAACTTGTTCCAAATGGGACTGCTGATCTTCTCCTGCAAACCTACTTCATTCACAAACCAATTCCTTGTCTCAATGTACGGTAACTGCATCCTTCCAATTTCTCAGGCCAAAAATATGGAGTCACTCCTGACTTAACTCTAAAATCTAGTACTATCCCATGGCTCTGCCTATAATGCTCTAGCCCAAGAGAGTGACATCGCTAATTCCCTCTCTTCCTTCAAGTCCTTGCTCCAGTCACCTTCTCCATGAGCCTAGCCTGAGCAGCCCTCTGTAATGTCACATCTGATCAGCCCGCCCCCCCCCCCCAGCACTCTTATCTTCCTAATGTTTCTGTTCTTTCCCTTTTATTTGTGGAACTTACTGACTTTTACCATATATACAAATTACTCACTGAGTCACTGTCACAGTCTGTCTCTGCTGGGCAGAGTTCTTCACCTGTTTTCTTCACTGATGTATCTCAAGCACATAGAGAGCAACTGGTGCCTAGGAAACATCCCACAAATAATTATGAAGGTTAAATGAATGTAATTATTCTATTTTACAAATGAGATAATAAACTGCAGTTTGGCTAATAAATGATGAGCTGGAGTCCCAGATATGCTTGATTTCCAAATCTTGGTGCTTTCTATCATGATGTTTTTTTCCTTTCTTTAGATTCAGGGCACCCCAAAACTGGCTACACATCAAAACCACGTGAGGAACTTTAATAAAACACTGGACCCCACTCTAAGTTTCATTTGGTCAGACGTGGGAGTCCATGTGTCTGTATTTTCACTCTCCTAAGTGACTCTTATGAACATCCAGGTTTGTGGACCATTACTGTAGATTCTATCCTCTTGTGTGGGTGTGGTTCTTTTCCAGAATTCCTAAAGAATTAGAAAGGTGTGTCTGGGAAGAGTTAGCTCCTTAATGCAGTAATAGGGTATCATAAAGGAACAAGCTGCCCCATATTCATCATTTGTAAAAGTGAAGTTTCCTCCTTTAAGCACCAAGGTTTTTTTAAGTAAATCATTTCAGATCCAAATCTTCCTGAAATGTAAAGCCACTTTTTAAAAAATAGTGTGTTGAATGAATTTCAGCTTGTTTTTCTCTGTGTTCTTCCTTCTTCCTGGCATGTCCCATATACCTGGACAATTCCCACTCATCCTTTGTCACTAAGCCCAAATGGTCGCTCTTCTTGGAATTTTTTTCCCAAATCCCTCAGGTTGGGTGAGGTTCCCATTTCTTTGCCTTTTTATTGTCAAAGTGTGTTATAATAAGTGATCAACTCATCTTGTTCCCCTACTTTACTATAGCATTACTAATAAGGACTATTTTTGTTTTAAAAGACAGAAGCACATCTCTAATCGGTTTAAGGAAAAAAGAATTGACTAGCTTGTGTAATTGCAAAATTCATGAATAGATCTGGCAACCCTTGGACCTAGGTGCTCAAATGATGCATTCAGAAATCTGATTCATCCCGACTCTCAGTTTTACTCTCCTTTGTTCTGGCTTCATTCTCAAGCAGGCTCTCCCCAGATGACAGCAAGGATGGCCCCCAGAACCTCTAGGCTTCCATCCTGCTTCTTAGCAACACTGGCAGAAGGAGAACTTCTCAGTCCCCAGAGTTCTTGCAAAAGTTCCAGGACCCACTCTCTCCTGGACTGACTTGGGTCATGTTCTCTCCCTGAACCAATCACTGTGACTTGGAAAAAGTGAAAATGTGTTCTGATTGATGAGGGCTAGTTCACCTGCCCAGCCCTGGAGCCAGTGAGTAGAATCAATCCTTTCCTACAAATCCTTGTGAGGAGAAAATGGGTGGCAGGGGGGTCCCTCAAGAGGAAATTAAGTTGTGATTATTAAAAGAAGGAGAAATAGATATAGATGCTGTGCAAGCCACAAACAGAGATCTAGTCCCACTGGACATCTTGAGAGCAGGGACTTTGGCCTCTTGCTAATCCATGCATCTTCATCTCCTAACATTGTACCAGGCACATTTGAGGCAGCTTGTGTTTAACCAATCAATCAGTGGAACAAATGGGTGCAGTCAGGGTTATCATGAGAACCATCCGCTATCACCCTGTGCCATAACACACGGTGTCCTGGGAGACTGCTGATGTGGTACCCGCTCTACCATCAACTGCCTGCAGTCGGCTCGATGTGGGCTACATCACTGTATGGAATACAGGCTGCTGGGAGAGATACAAAGATGCTAATCTTTTTTTGTCACAGAAGTGTAATACTCAGGTCCAAACATGACTATTGGTAAAAGCACGGTCAGCCCTTTAATTAGGTATCCCAGGACACCATGCCCGGGATGTTGCAGGAAGACAAAGCCAAGAGGGGGGGATGTGGAAATGTCACCCTCATTAACGGGGCCATTCACAGGAGGAAGGGCCCACCCAGGGCCCTGGTGAGTGTCAGAGGTTAGGTTCCTGCCAAGAAACTGGAGTGAGTGTCAGAGACAGCAGCCACAGGGCCTTGGGGAGGAGGCGGGAGCTAAACAGAAATAAGGCAGGGGGAGGAGGAATCTCTCCAGGGCAGGCCCAGCCCCGCCTCCTTCACAGCCCCCTGGGGGATCCTAAGGCCTTTCTTTCTGAAATGTGCGTGTTGTGGTTATTGCTTATTTATTTCCCATTTATATTAATGCACTCTCATTATGTGCAACTTTAACTATCACAGACTCGAGTCCTCGGACCAAGCAGAAGGGCAGATGAAGGTGCTTTCCACAATACAACTCACTTCTCTCCTGGAAGCCCTGCCAATGTTCTCACTCCTCTCTCTGCACACACACCCCAACTGGCCCACACTGCACAGGGGGAGACTGTTGTCCCCATGGCTCCTCTCACTGCTCCCTGTCACAAACCAAAGTGGCCAGAGTGTTCAAGCTGAGGAAGCTGCAGCAGGAAGAGCAGTGGAGTCAACCAAAGTCCTGAGTTCTAGCCCCTCCTCTGTCACCAACCAGCCATGAGACCTTTGGCAAGTCAGCCATGTCTCACTTCTCAGTCTCCCCATCTGGTCAAAAGTAAAAACAAAAGCAGAATCATGGAGGATTCTTCGGTCTCTAAAGTCACTGCCCTGGAATAAGGCAGTGACTGCCTTAGTGACTGCCTTGCTAAGAGGACCAGATCCAGATCTTTTGGGTGTTAGAGCTTCTTAAGTTGTAGAAAACAGAGTCTAATTCTAGTGAAGTTAAGCACAAGGGGCACTGGGTCTTATAAGATTAAAGGGAGTTTGGAGAGCCAGGCATGGGAATGTCAGAACCCAGAGCTGACCCAGAGGCAGGCGTCCAGAACCACACTTGTCCCATAGCAGGAGCATCTGACCAGGACCCCACCTCTTGGGTGCAGTGGAGCACCAGCCATTTTCAGGAGTCCTGTCTCATTTCCAAGGAGGAATCACCTACTTGGCCTAGATTGGGTCATGGGTTGGCTGGACCCTGGTGACATTTCCATCAGACTGCATCCAATAAGGAGGAAACAATGCCTGAAAGGAAATCAGAGGGCCCTTCAGAAGAGAGGTAGATCCAGAAAACATTTGTGAAAGAGGAGAGACAAATGCTGCCATTAGGTGAGAAGCCCCTCTTTCTCCAAGAGTCTACGTTCCAACCAGCCTGACCACATGTGCACCCATAGAGAACTTCCAAGGTCACAGCACGCCGACTCAGCCTCCGAGCGATAGCTGTATCTCTACCTGGCTCTCCGCTGTCTTCTGCAGTTTTCCATGAAGACCAAGAGTCCCTTGGTCATTAACCCCCGACCAAGTAACTTAAAGAGAAACCTTCTGCATAGCTAATGAGCTTAGCTAAGCAGACATCACAGGTAATGTTGTCATGGCAAGCGGTCTTCGGGATTGCATTTACAAATAATACATTAAAATGGTGGTCTCTGTTAACTAGACAGCTCCTCTGGAATTTGCAGAAGGGGTGCTGGGTATAAGATCAGAGACTCACATCTGAGTTCTCACTGGGGGTCTCCTGCTTCTTAGCACCCAAGCTGGGCAGCCAGCTCTATTCTGTCATCCCTGTGGCTGCTCCACATTCTCCATTCCTCACCAGCCTCTCACTCCCAAACCACCTCCCACACACACACCTTCACCCTCCACAATATTTTTCAGCCTCTCTGAACAAAGCATCAGTCCCTGAAGCTGAGCCAAGGACCTGCATCTCTGGTTGATGAGGACGGGCTCTCTCCACCTCCCTCTCTCCACCCCCCGGTCTCTGAGGCTTCCCATAGCCCCTGCAGGTTAAGCAGAGAGGAGATTAGAAATTATCTAAATCACAACAATTCCCTGGCAGCTTTTGTATGATTGCAGGCTCTGGTGAACTAAACTGTCCAGCTGGGTAATTGAAGGAAACATATTTATTGAAATTCACATGCTTGCAGTTATACTTAGCCCCTGGATATCAGCAAGCTGACCTGAAAGAGAATAAAAAGCCCCTTCCAGCATTCCAAGTAATCATTCCATACAAGCCCTTTGGGATTTAACTCTCTGGTGGCACAAGAGAGCTTTGATTTTCCACGCTTCTTGTGCCTCTCACTGCTGCCAGCTGCCAGCTGGGCTGCCAGGACTCAGGAAGGACATGACAATGAGACCCACCAATGCTGACATGCCCCCCTCACAAAAGGCTTTGCCCAAAAGGTGTCAGCAAATATGGCCTTACTTTTCAGAGTTCATTTTACGTTCAGAAAAAGCAGGGCTTTGATCAGCGGGTGAGTTCACTCTGAGTGACAGCTGCAGGTCGTAGCAGATGGGTCTCTAGAATCAGCACCTAACACAGAAGTCCGACCTGGGCAAGGTCACCCCGGGCTCTCCGCAGCTTCAGTGAGACGAGCTGGAAAAATATGAGGCTCAGGTGAAGCGTGCTATGTATGACATACAAACAGAGGTGTTTTCTTTTCATGGAAAGGAGGGCTTACGCGGAGGTTGCTCCCACCAAGCTATAGAATCACAGAAAGTACGCAAGGTCATCAGAACCTATCTTCTGCCACGTGTTGGAATCCTTTTCTTAGGATCCCATGATCTAAACTGGGGGGTTAATTAGCTTTTAGTTCATAGACCCACCCATAATCAGCCGGGGCGTCCTCTAGTTGAGGTCCATGAGGCCACGTCTGGGTTCATCAAGAAAGAATGCTGGGCACGTCTGGCAAGGGCTCTGGAGGGAGAAGTTACAGCACGTGTGCAAGCTTATTTGTTGTCTCTGAGTTCGACTGTCAGCAGTGTTGCTGGTGATGAGGACTCTTCCTGATAAAGAGGCCTGGCCCCCATAGCCACGGGGATGACACGTGACAGACAGAAACCAGCCTGAATGGAAAACTGTTAAATTCCTGGTCAGCAAACTTGAAAGTAAGTAAGGGGACACACCGCAAGTCCACCTACCAGAAATATATGTTGGTAAAGGTTTATGTAACTCTTATGCCCCAAATTTAGAGATCCAAATTTCTTTGGAGATCCCATTCAATAATCTCATCTTTTTGTTGTAGGTTTTTTAAGCACCCCGAAGCATATTATAGCATCCAACTGTAAGTACTGGAGAAGTCTAGATGGATCCAGAATCTTGGCACTGAGACTATTTTCTGGATCCACCCATAATCCCCCAAAACAAGCAGCAAAAGACAAGACAAATGCCAAATGACACAAATCCTACTTATTAGGGGAGTGGTGAAAGTAAATATTGTGACATCAAAAGGAATGCAAGCTAGAGTTGCTAGATAGCCCATCTGTATGTAAGGAATGCAGAATTTTCTTGAGCAGTAACAGGATCTAATCCAAAGAAAAAGGAGGACAAAACACTAGCCAAGGGAGACTCGACTTTAGATCCCTACCTCTTAATGGGAGCCCAGGGTGGCTTCTCTCAACTCAGACTGAGCAGTCCCCAAGAAGCACAGGCCCTGTGACTGGAGAGTTCAGAGCGTTCACGGGCTGCTATTTGAAATTACTCCTTAACCTTGTTAATCAGGCCTCTGAATTGGGAGTAAAGTTCCTGCTTGCAAAAGGGTTTGCAAAGTAAAATAGATTGCATAAATCCTATTTAAGGGAATTACAAGAATGAACTGATTTTAAGGACTTGAGCACATTAATCGCTGGAATAAAGATGGATACAACCAATTACCAGTGGGTTTCAGAGAGTTTCCAAAGTGGTCCACCAGGGCCTCCCTCAGAAACACTTTGTCAGCAATTAGTGTTGCGTGTATTTGAAATTCCATGTAAGACTAGTTAAGGGATTTTTTAAAAAGTAACTCAGATTGGCCTACCCATCAACGAGGGATTTATTCTGCTTTAAACAAATCCAATCTATGAAGAAAACCTAGCTTTATAAAATAAATAATATACTATAAAACAATTTGCTGTGATATTCCTATAAGCAGGAAGTTCTCCCACTGAATCTAAAATCTGACTCTTTCTAAAAGATAGGTTTAAGGACAACTTCTTAGGGAGACATCACTTATATAAAGTGACCCGTCTCTATGGGGCAGACTTATGCCAGCAAGGCTGGGTCATTTTACATGCTGTCTTGTGGGACCAGCCCAGTGAAGCGGAGTCTGTGGATTTGCAAGGGCGGTGGTTGCCCTCGTTTGTATGGGAATGACAGCTTATCCTGCTTACTGCTAATTGGAGTGTGTGTGCCTCTGTAGGTATATTCATCCATTTATATATTCAACAAGATTGTATTGAGCACCTACTATGTACATGAATGTATACATGTGGCACATAGAGTGTCCAGGAAGTGAGCTTCAATTTAGGGATCGATAGTGGAATTTTGTTAATGTTTTTGACTGCCTGGTATCAATTTCCACTTCTTGACAGCATCTTAATCTCTTTTTCAGGAGTCACCTCTTTCCTCTTGGATTGATCATAGAGGGCTATAACCAGAACATCTGCCCTCTCCTGGGCAGGTATTGGGCCAGGCCAGTCAGGCACTCCCTCCCTGAACTTAACTGAAAGTGTCGGCAATTCCATGCCATTCGTGTACCTCCATTTTGATCAGGCTCTCTCTGCCACAAAATGGTAGCCACACTTCTGCTCCCTACCTGCCAGTATTGATGAGGTCAGCTCCTCAGCCTTTGTTCGTTCTGGGAATCTCTAATAGTCTTTCAATAGATTCCCTCCTGCTGAATGAAGTCAGCTAGAGCCATGCTGTGTTGCTTGTATGCAAATCACCACATGGTGCTAGACCTTATACTGTGACACTGTGCTTCAAAAACCCCCTCCAGCAGAAAAATGAAGCCTCTCTTCCAGTATCTGTGTATTTTCTAGCTGTCTGAAGTCATCCAATTCAACTCTCCATCCCTCCAGTTTTAGAGGAAGCAGTGTCCCTCCTCCTTGACACTGCTCCCTCCACTCAGTAGGGTGACCAATTCATCCAGGTTTACCTGGGGATCACCCAGTTTTAGCATCGAAGGTCTGTTCAATGTTCTGGGAACTCCCACAGTCTCAGCAAAGCGGGAAGGTTGGTGACCCTAACGTGGGTTTTCTCCATCTCTCTCCATATACTAGTGCAAGTTGTCTCCTCTGACAACTAACCATGCAGTCTTTTGCTCTGACTACCTCCCACTCTTCCCACTCTCTCAGAAACCTTATGGAGTCGCTACGAAAATTCCACATCTCCGGCCTTAAACCTTCACCCCGTCTTCTCTCCAACACTTACAAGGTCTTCAAGCAGAGCTGCTTTGTGCTGACCTTTCAGACTCAACATATGCCCAACTAAAGCCACGCTCTGCTCGCAAACGCTGCCTTCCCATGTAGGCGGGCCCTGCCACTTTGGAGGCAACACATCCAAATGGCAAGGTGACAGTAATACTGAAATTTTAAATACACATATCCCATTTACCCTAGAGAAACACTCGAGTGTGTATACAGGAAGCAGGTACAACGATGTTCATTAGAGCATTATTTACAATGGCGAAAATGAAAACTACCCAATAGTGTATCAATAGAGAGTAACGTATAAATAAACTATGGCAGATCCCTACTGTGGACTGCCACGCGGCAATTAAAAAGAACAATAATTGTTAACTCATATAGAGCTAGTTGGGGCACTGTTCCAG